TGTGTTCATCCAGCTCTATACCTGGTTATCTCAGATTCTCCAGCATCTGCAGTTCCTACTATCTCATTAACTAACCTGGTAAGTTTCTAGTGGTCGTGTTTCCATATTAACATCCCACACCTTAACAGACAAGTAGTCTCGTGTCATCATGTATCGACCATTATGGCTGAACTTCACATCCGAAATTGAGGAGATGATTTCAGAAAAAAATGACCGGCTGCTTGGATCTTCTGGTTCTTCAAAAACTGGAAGTTGAAGAAGGAAAAGTTAGAAATCTGTATATTCTTAACATTTAAACTACTTAAATACAACTAAAGCAAGTTTAAAAATTAAAAAAAAAAAAAAAAAAAAAAAAAGAGGGAGAGCTAACTAGATGGAATGTTCCAAAGATGACCGATTGTGGGCAGTTTTAGCAAATTATTTTCATTTAATAGGACATCTGAAAGTCATGTATCGCAAGGTGCAAAAGAAATAGGAGTATGCTCCACCTTTTAGCAAGGTCTTGGCTGACAATTTGTCACCCTCACCATGCAACTGAACTGCATCTGTGCCAGGTGGTGAGGGAACTAACAGGAGGGGAAAAACTATTTCGTCTCATCCTCACTCAGTCCGTCTGCTGCAGATGCAGGTGTCCACAACAGTACCAGTAAGAGTGACCATCGCATAGTCCTTGCAGGGATGAAGGTCCATCTTCACATTGATAATATGTTGCATCATTTCATGTGGCACTAATATAGTGCAAAATGGAATGCCAGGTGCAGCGCCACGCATAGCTAAAAATGAGGTCTCAAACTTGGAGAAGCTACAAAACAGGACTAACAGCATAAGCAGCAAGTGATAGAGCTTTCCATAACCGATGGCTCAGATCGAAGTTCTACCATCCTGCCAAATCCAGCCATGAATGGTAGACAGCACTTGAACAACTCGTTGCAGGAAGAAGTTCCACAAATTTTCCCTTCCCCAATGGGGAAGCCCAGCACATTTGTACAAAAGATGAAGATGAAGATGAAGATGAAGCTGAAGCATCTGCAACAATTCCAATCGGACATGCCAAGTGGATGATCCATCACAGCCTCCTCTACAGGTCCTCAGCATCACGGATGCCAATCTTCAGCCAATTTGATTCACTCCAAGGGATATCAAGAAACAGCTGAAGATACTGGATACTGCAAACGCTATGGGCCTGATAATGTTTTGGCAATAGTACTGAAAACTAGTGTGCCAGAATTTGCTGTACCCCTAGCCAAGCTGTTCCAGTACAGTGGCTACATTAGCATCTGCGCAACAACGTGGAAAATTGCCCAGGCATGTCTGAATACAGAGGGCAGGACAAATCCAACCTGACCAATTACCAAGCCAATCTACTTTCAATCATCAGTATAGTAATGGAAGACGTCATCAACTATGCTATCAAGCAGCACCTGCTCAGTAATAAGTGACATTCCATTTAGGTTCCATCAGAGTTACTCAGATCCTGACCTTATTACACCCTTGTTCAAGCATGGACAAAACAGCTGAATTCAAGAAGTGCCGAGTTCTTGAATGCAGCCTTGATGCTCTTGACATCAAGGCTGTATCTGACTTGAGTGTGGCTTCAAGGAGTCCTAGCAAATGTCCAGTCAATGGAAATTAGGCAAAAACTCACTGCTAAAGTAAAGCAAAGAACTGTGGATACTGGAAATCTGACACAATAATTCTGCTTTCTCTCCACAGATGCTGCCAGACCTGCCGAGTTCCTTCAGCAATTTTTGTTTTTGTTTCAGAAAACTCTGCTGGTTGGCATCATTCCTGGCACATGGGAAGAGGATTGTGGTTGTTCAAGCTCAACTCCAGGACATGTTTGCAAGAGATCCCCATCTTCAACTACTTCATCATTGACCTTTCTTTCATCATAAGGTCAGATGCAGGGATGTTCAAGTGACTGTATAATATTCTGCACCACTCGTGACCTGTCAGATACTGCTGAAACAGTTCATTCCTAAATGCAGGCTTTGGCTGAAAAGTGGCAAGTAACATTTGTATCAAGTTTCAGATAATGATTGTCTCACATTGGAGACAATCTAAACAACGCCCCCGGTCATCAACGGCACTAATGTCACAGAATCCTGGAGACTGTCATTGTCCAGGACCCAAACTAGACTCCCCATATAAAGACAGTGGCTACAAGATCAGGTCAGAGGCTAGGAATGCTGCAGCAAATAACGCACCCTCTGACCTGCAAGGCCTGCCCACCAGAAGTGTGATTAAATACACCCCACTCCAACAATACTCAAGCAGCTCGACACCATCCAGGAAAAAGCAGCTGGGTGACTGGTGCCACATTCACAAACATCCACTTTCTCCACCACCGATGCTCAGTTGCAGCAGAGTGTATCACCTTTAAGATGCACTGCAAAAAGAATTCACCAAGGCTCCTTAGACAGCACCTTCTAAATGGAAGTGATTGAAAGTTTGGAAGGACAAAAGCGGCAGACACATAGGAATGCCACCATCTGAAAGTTCCCCTCCAAGCCACTCACCACTCCAACCTGGAAGTATACCACCATTCCCTCAGTGTTGCTGGGTCAAAATCCTAGAATTCCCTTGCTAACTGCTTTAAGGGTTTACCTACAGCACATGGATGGAGCAGTTCAAGAAGGCAGCTCATTACCACTTTCTCAGGAGGAACAAGGAATAGAAATTAAATGCTGGCCCAGCCAGTAATACCCACATTCTGCCCCATGGGTGAACAAAAGACTCCACTCTCCTAGACTAGCTCACTTTGAGGGCTTCAAATATTTTGGATCACAAGATGAGATTTTGGGGTTTGATCTCTGAAACAGCAATGACCACTACAGTGTTTGATCAATACCCAGAGCAGCACAGCCCCTTTAAATCTTCATGGTTTTATGTTGCTGGGCACAGCTGTTCACTGAGGCCCAATTCCTGCAACCACAAGAAACTTGTGACAAGGTAGCATTTATTTCATTTTCTCCCTTATCAACTCTCCCATGAGGAAGATATCAATGGCAGGGGCTGTTGGGGTGAAGGAGCAGTAAAGGCCAAGGCAGTAGGGGCTGGTGGTGAAGAAAAAGGGACAAGGGATAACAAGTGGAAGAGGAGGGGTTGAAGATGAATGGGATGAAGGAACACACAATTCAATTTACCCCAATACTACAACTGAACACTCAACTCCACACCCTCTTCAGCCCCTCCCTCCACTAACAAATCCTGAAATGCCCGAATTTTCACACAGGGTCACAGAATCAGAGGCATTAAAATTCAGATCACACCAGAAAAAAAGGTATGAGAAGCACTGCCAGATCCCTTGATTTTCCATAATGCCCAAATAGTTATCACACTTTAATATATACGTTAACTAAACATCCACAGCTCTGCAGTGTTAAGAATTCCAAACATTCAGAATTCTTAATCCTAATTGGCTGACCCTTTTGAAAAGGCTTTTATACAAAGTTCTCCTCCAGCAAGATGAAAGTGTCTCTTGGTTTTGACCCCATCAAGCGCAGGGAGATTTATACTTCTCAAATGAGATAATCTCTTATTTTTCTAAACTCCAGAGTAGAATTCATTCAATCTCTCTTCAAAGGATAATCCTCCAATGGCATAAACCAATCTGATGAACCTTTATTAAACCCCTCTGAGGCAGGTATATCTTTCCCTAGCAAAAGGAGACCACTATCTGGTAGAACCTGAGACAGCAAGAGTATGGGTGAGATGGAGATTAAGATTGGTAGAAACTTTACATGCAGAAAAAAAGACTGCTTGGTTTGCCAATGTTGATCTTATATTCTGTCAGGTGTCACAATATGGCAACAGAGAGCCAAAGCAGTTTTACTTTCTGATCGCAAAATAGCACACCTGAGCACTTGCAATTCTCAGCTACTTGAGACCCATTCAGTTGAATAAATATATCCACTCAAGTAGAGCAGTGACGAGCCTTAGCCACTGATATAATGTATTCCCAATCTCTGAGCAGCTAACTTAGGTAGCCTCACTATCAGAATAGCAAAAACTGTTATTCACACTTCTGTTACAGATCATTAGGGAGTTATGAGCAGACATGTGTAGCATAAACCCATTACTACACAGAACCTTGACATATACAAGAAAGTCACTTGTTCAAATACAGTTCATAGGGTCAAGGATTATTTGGCTGGAATTTGTAAACCATCCATCAGCTTTGGTGTATGACTTGTAGGCAGCTGACTGATTGTATCTATGCCTTGAAGATCCTGATGTAGTGCTTTACCTGTGCAGGAATAGGGTTAAAGACATATTTCAAGAACACAGCACACGTTTGTCATATCCTCTGACATACACATCTTCCTGAGGAACAACTATTTTGAAATACCTGTTGTTCAATGTTGCTCAAAGGCTACTTCATGATGCAACACTTGTGTCAGTAGTACAATTTGAGCTGCTAGGATCCCTGTTTAATTTGTCACTCTTTTCCCCCAGGAAGACAAATACAAGTTCTACCGAAGAACCCAATACTTGCATTTGTAAGAGCAAAACTGGGATTTAAACACAACCTGCTCAATAACAAGGAAAGGGAGTGGGGGGAGAAACCGAAGTCATGTTATACTGACGGCAAGAAAAAGAGAAATAACAGATCAAATAATGTCAGCTTTTGGCAGGGTAGTATTGTGAGCATACCATAAATTGTGTTTGGACAGATAAATCTGAGAATCTAGAAAAGTACGTTTAGTAATGCTTATGGTATGAACATAAGAATCAGTTTGGTAAGTGAGAACAGTTAGCAGAAGTTATATTATGGGCAATTTTATTATTAAAAAAACTTTAAAAATAAAGTGGCCATTAACAGAAGTGCACAAGAATTGCATTGACCAATAACAAATTATATCTTGAAACAAGACCAGACGTTACCAATAGATGAAATACATTGTTTTATAACACTTTGCTAGATAGATAATGAATACTCACATTTTGAATGTTTGTCACACAGAGCGCCAGCACGCATATCGCATAGTCGTATAGTTCCCTTACTGCTACTATAAGCAAATACATTGCACTGATGTGGATGGCACTCTGCTGCTGTAATAACTTCTGTCAGCTCTTCCATATTGGCAGGTTTAATATCTACAATGTCTTTCGCAATATTTAAGGAATTTTAAAAAATATAATCAGACATTTAAATACATAATTTTAAAAAAGTTCAGAAGTCCAACTTCCGCAAATTGGGCAGATGTATGAAATACACCCTCAAAACTTTAAAATTAGAGGTAGGCTAGATGGGAAGGCAGGAAAATTACCAATGCTCACAACATTGGAATAATCAATGTGCATTTATTATGTTCAGAAGATAAAGAATTTAACAGTTAGGTTTCTACGTACATTGCTCCCCAGGGGTAAAATTAAAAAATAAATTAGACTGAATTGAAAATGGTCTCCATGCATCCAGCAGGTATTGTTCTGAGAAATGAACTAGCAAATGGCTGTCACCTATTTTGTGGAACTGAAATAGGCTGTGTGTACATGTTCTTTTTGTCTGCAAGAAGTATATTCATATGTAGTTTCCAGTATAGAAAAATGTGGCACACTGCAACCCCAACTGACAATCCTAAACTGATTGTCAAAATTCTTCTCACACCCAGGATTATCCAACAAATGTTGTCCAATTGCAGAATCACATTTAATGTTGAACCATGTACTACATGTTTTGCAAGTGTGCATTAGTTAGATACAGTCTGCCTAATCATTTGTGTGATAAAGTCGTATATGAATTGCAGGGCCAGTCTGATAATAGGTACATAGGCCATACGTCCCAAATCAAAAAGCATACCTCTTAGGCTGCTCACAAAAGCAAACAAGACACTGACCATACCGCAGTCTACATGTTAACCAATCAATACTCTACCCTCATGCAGAATGCTTTTTCTCCCCACGATTTGGTATTCTTGCAAATTGTCCTCAAGTGAAATGCAAAAAGCTCTTAAAAAAAAAGTCTTTTTTTAAAAAAAGCAATACTCAAGTTCTGTACAATTAAATAACTATTTGTAACCGATATTATTCAAGGCACCTTCAAAGGCAAACATATTTGTAAAACAAGCATTTTGAATGGAGAGAGGTACCACCATTTAAAAGAAAATTTACATAACGGTGTCAGATGCAACACTGTTCACAAATCCCAAAGCTGGGATTATGTTCCTTGTCTCACAAATACTAAAATCAGGATTCCTTTATTAGTATACCATATTTAGTAAATAGAAACAGTACTAAATCAGTCACCATAATGTACTGCAAAGAATTGCTGTTTTAAAAAAGGATACTAAAACTCCTATCTGTGATTTCTAAGTGCCATAGATTAATTCTAAGATCATCTGCTGAAAGATAGGTTTCATAGTCACTATTCACTGAAATGGAGTTAATGTGATATGTGTGCGCATTTGCGAATATTCTTCGAGGGCTTGCTTCCACCATCAAATCCATAGGTTTCAATACTGGCACCTATTAAGTAAAAAAGAAAAGGAAATCACCTTCAAGTAGAAAGTTAAGTGTTTCTACTCACTCAGTCACTTTGAATTTTAGAAGTCAGAATTTCAAACACATTCAAAAATTTGCTATCATCTTGCTTAGTGCTTTGTTGCTTTCCTCGTCTCAACTACTAAACTTAGGACTCTTTATTGGGATACCATTAAAAAGAGCTGAAAATCAAAAATTTGGGAAGGATATGCTATTCACCTAGATTTCATTCAAAGAACATATTTTAAAGAAAGAAAATTCAGTTTACTTTCTTTGATTTTGTAATTGATATCTATTTCAAGTAAATGATTTAGCGTTCAATGTGAGAGGGTTGATCAGCAAGTTTGCAGATGAAACGAAAACCACATGTAATGAGTTTTAGAGGCAGCAACCCTCAAAATTGAAGTACTTAAATGTACACTTGTGATACCAAGGTATGCATGATTATGGAACATGTACTAGGAAATGTGATTAGAATAGCTGTTTTTGACTGGCACAGGCCTGACAGGTTGAAGGGGCCTTTTCTGTGCTGTAGATCTGACTCTAGCCTAAATTCAAGGAATATAATCATAATATATTTTTGTTGCAACCAAATTGGTCTATGAACTACAAATCTCAAAAGCTAAAGATATAAATAAATTCATAACTATTAGATAAATTCATTAGATCTACACTGCATATCCTAATTAGTGGCTCACTATAGCATTCCAGATTCTATCTTGATGCATTAGCTAAGCGCAAACTTATTTCCTTGAATGATACTTGTGTTTTTAAATTTGCTTTTTTTTCCTAACTTATGGTTATACTCTGTATAGCTGTAATGTATTTTTGTTTTAATTTCTCTATTCTCTACTGCTGTACCTAAGATGGTGCTGTAAATGGCAACTTTTAAAAACTTTTCACTGTACTCATTTGAGTACATGACAATAAAGCTAATTAAATTCAGTTCAGCTGCATACTTTGTGAAAGCCAGTCAAAGCAAAGCTTTTCATACAAAACACTCAATTTATAAATTGAAATGTCCTGCAAATTAAAATTTCAAGTGATTTTGCTATGTTTTGAGTGTGGGTGGGTGGTGAAGAGAAAAGGACTGTTTGAGTTACAAAAAAATTCTACTGTCAAATATCCCATAACCCTGAGAATCTGTTTAGAATGAAAATTTGAATTCTTTTGATTTTTCCTGTGTGGTTTCTGTACAGCAGTGAGAATGCTCCATTTGAATTCAACTCCAGTCTCTTAGCAATAACTAATCACTTACTAAGGCATTAAACAAGGACGTCCTCGTTTGGTCAACATTTAGCCGATTTAAAAGAAGTATTCTTTAATAGATTGATTACTAGCTTCAAATACTGACCATGAACAGAAATACATAATTTATCTGAAATATATGGAATAATACAGTATTGAAAATGCATTAGATCTTGTTGTAGAAGCAGGTAGAACCTTGATATGACAACTTTTTAACACAAGAATACATTAGCAAATCAACCTTTTATCCAAGTTTGAATTTATTCAGTCTAAATTATTAAACGTTGACAAACACGACCAATATAGGTGTGCAAAAGGGTTTATGAAACAATTGCTCTATATAAAAGTGTGTTTTTTTGACCAGTTAGGAAGTTCTCTCTCTGGGCTTTCATTAATAGTCAATATTCCAGCACACTTCAGAAAATATCACCACAAGTAGCAACATCCAAGTAAATCATAGATGGCCACACCTCCAATCAACCCAGTTCATACTCTCATACCCGTAATGTGGTTATTCTGACAGGATCCCTGTATCTTCCATCTTCTTCTTTCAAATTATAGCCTTCTGCTCGTTTGTCCCTTTCACTGATCTTCCATAATTTAATAGTTTTATCTGTAAACCATAGGTTAAAGCACAAATTTATATTTTTTGAAAATTTTCATTCCAGGAGAATCTACAATTCAATAGTTCAAGAATTTCTTTATATATAGTTAATCAACCTGAGGATCTTAAGATTAACGACAAGATAGTTAAAACCTTAAGCAATAACATTTTAGAAACAGTTCAGTATTTTCCATTTGAAATGCATATTGATTCTGCAAGAAAGTCTCCTTTGCTGGCTGTAAAAGTCCAATATGAATTTAATTTGGGTAATTTCAACTGGTTTAAAAATGGGATTGGGCATATAGCATGAAAGTGCCTTTAAATCAGTGTAAATTGTTACTCACACTCAGAGGCCATAAAGTGGCTGGCATGAAAATGAAGAAACCCCACCTCCACCACTGTAGTGTGCAACAGGAGTTTACATTGAAGTATCTAATGCTGGCAGAGCTTAATTTGACACCTGATCTGAAGGCATTTGATGCGGGCATTGGGTATTTGAATTGGAAGAGCTGCATTCCATAGCACTAACATTCCTCTTCCTGATAAATCCTGAAGTTGAAATACTACAATGTAGACCATAAACCACCGAATATTATGATAGTTGCCCAGTAATAATTCTTTTTCAACTTGTAAAAAGTATGATTAATATGCTTTTATTTAAAAGAAACAGAAGAATGTAGTCAAATAATTTTCAGAACACCCAAATCCAGCAAGGGAGATGAAATCAAATGAGGCAAAATGATGATGATGAGGCAAGATGTCAGCAGTTACTAGTGAGGTAATTCGAGTACAGAAATCCTCCTACATTTAAGTCTGGTCTCTCACATGGTCACAGAAGATTCCATGACACTATTCAAAGGGAGGTTTTTCTTACGACAATGTGGTCCATATTTAATACTCAAAAGCATCATAAAAAAACAGAGCACATGGTAATGATCTCATTGCTACTTCAATAGCTTTGTTATATGCAATTCGACTCTTGCCTTTCCTTGCAATAGTGACTACACTTCAATCGTTCTTCATTCACAGCAAAGTATGCTGAAATCAAAATACGCTGATTCTAAAATCATTAAAGATACCAACAAATGAAACATTTCATTTCAAACATGCAAGGTAATTCAACTCTCTCACAATGTCATTATCTTATTGAAACCAGTTATCTCTATCAAAATTAATATTTACAGAATTATTAAATAAGAATAAAATGAAATCCACAAGGAGTCCCATTCACCTCGTGCTTGAATTGCAATTTATTCAGGCCAAACTAAATAACGTTTAACATGTAATAATGCAAAGTTTTACCTTAGCCTTAGCAAGATTATTCAGTGATAACAGTTACAGAATCATCAGTGTAGACATCAAAGCTAGTTATTTTTGTTCTTGTCACCAGGAATGCTTTCTCCTCAGCTGAAGGCACTGAATCTTACTGGGGCTTGATTCTAAATGGGTCAACAACCCTTCAAGGGTTGTAAAAATGTCAATCTTCTTCATGTGTGAGCACAGACAGTGTCTGTTGGTGGGTTGTTCAGGCATTACAGCAAAGTTGGACCACACTGCTAAACACCTACACAGATACCTCCTCTTTTAAGACTACTGATTATTAAAGAGAATCCTTGGTAGGTTGTTATCTTCTCTAACCCAGGGCTCTGAAGACAATTATAACACCCAATACTGCCTTAGCTAAGTTAACCAGTCATATATGAATTAAGGACTTCACGGTCCACATGTTGAATGTGGCACCAGTTACACCAGGCCATGGATTTGTTTCATGATCGAGTATATCCAAGCCTACCACTTCTGCTGGCAAATTGAGGTCTATAGAAATATTTCCCAAGCAGTCCCCATTTGTGGAATGGAGAATCAAATCCGAAGATTGAATTTTAAGATTAAAAAATGCAGTATAGAAAAGACAAACAGTTGCATATAATTATGCAAATCTGAAACTCACCATTTGTAGATAATAAGAAATGAGCAGCGTTCTGTTGAGGTAACCACCTGATTTTATTTATTTTTTCCTCAATTTCTAGACTTTTCAAATAATCAAACTCCGGTTCGTGACTCTGAAAGGTGCTGTAAACATTATATTCGCCTCTGTGATGAGGTCTGTTTTTACTCTACAAAAAGCAAGAAAAGTTATTTGCAGTATAACATATCAAATTAACTCCATCAATGCACATTTAGTTTGTCTTATTTGCCATAGATGTGTTTCTAATGGAAAGCTCAAATTTACTGACTCCTGTATTTTAGCTGGCTACAATATAAAGTCTAACGTATCTACAAAGGTCTAAACAGAATACAACTACACTGAGCAACACTATTTCCAAATAATTCAAAATTTCCATTTTGAAAGTTGCCGGATATAATGAAAAAGGTGAATTCTTCGATTAAACTGTACTTAACTCAAACAGAATATATATATAGTCGATTATGGAAACAAATTAAAAAAAAAATCAGTAATAAGATCTTCCATGAAAGTTAAGATTATTTTCTTGTGTACTATACCAACATTTTAAATTGCTATTGCTATGACCAAGATGGACACAATCTTTCCCTAGTTCCATTATTCCACAGGTCACATCAAATTCAAACCTTTTATCCAGTTTGTGATATGGCCGAATGCATGCTTTCACTACATTAAGGATCTATTGGCCTGGTGTTATTGATTTGTTGTAAAACAAAATCTATTCAATGAAAATGTCAAAACTAGTTGATATACTTCTATTTTCATTATACAAACTTAAACGTTTGATCTTCTAAATAATCCGGAACACAGATGGTACAAGGAAAACTGATTTCTCCCTGCAGATTCACCATTTTCTGGGAGGCAGGTTTGGGGTTTGAGGGTGAGGAGGAGGAGGAAGTGGTTATAAAGTTCTTAAAGACAAAAGGCATAGGTGTCAGACGGACATTCTAGTGCACACACAGTCAGATGCTAATGGGATCTCTACAGTGCAGCTTGCTCAGGAAACATTATTCATAAGTCTTCCAGTTGCTTCTCAGGAGGAAGATTGGAGTTCAGACTGAACCAGGGGTCCTGGTTATACTCTGGACCCACAATGATGTTCAGAAAAAGGAGAGCTGTGCTGGGAAGTTTGCTTTTTTCACCAGGCTGACCATCCACAGAAAAAAATCAAATCAAACAAAAGTCAAAGCAGAAGCTGTACCCAATAGTTGTAAACAAAGGCAGGAACTCAGCAGCAAACACAGTTATCTCAAGACATGGGATTTTCAATGAATACCTTGATTAAGAAAATGCTCCAATGTCCTTTCACTGACCTCTTTACAATTAATCCATATCTACAGAACTTAAAGAATCATTTTTCCCACAATCCTTCAAAGTCAAAGCCGAAACGTCAGCTTTCCTGCTCCTCTGATGCTGCTTGTCCTGCTGTGTTCATCCAGCTCTACACCTTGTTATCTCAGATTCTCCAGCATCGGCAGTTCCTACTATCTCCAAAATCAAACTATTATCATTTCTACTGTTGTGAAGGGAATGAGAACAGCGAGGTGGACCTCATGGAATATGAGTTCCCTGACAGGATCAGATTAACTGCCAAATCAGGTAGCCCTGGCTGACAGATATAAACTGGAGTGTCAGACATCCTGTTCACTCAGCGACCTCTGAGGAAGCTGGATCAGTGTCAAGGATTCTCCACGTGTAAATAAAGGGTGACTTGGTGATGGGAAACCGGCCTGTGTGGAGTTAGTTCAGTGACAACGAGAGAAAAGCACACTCCTGAAGAAATTCGCTCGCTACAGTCTTGATGGGGTGAGTGTTTCTGGCATCATGCCATTATTTGGCAAGCCTGACTCGTTCTATCCCACTATCAAAGACTGGGCCCACTATGTGGGAAGAATGCGTTATTTCTTCCTAGGCAAATGACACTAGGGTAGATAAAAGCAACGAGTAATTTTCTTGACCTAAACAAATAAGACAGTTTTATCAGAGGGAATTCTCCTGCATCTACCTCATATATACCTCTGGCTGTACACTCTAGTTTATCCCTACAGACAGACTCATTTAAATTTTGCCAGTAGTCTTGCTACAGTCTGAATCCAAGTATGAAAGTATGGTGTCTAATCTTGTTAGCAGTTCAGTGTTAGACAACAGGATGGTAGTTCGTTAAACCTGGGAACTGTTCAGCCTCCTTCCTACCTCATTCTCACTATCTCTTCCCACCTCCACTATTATCTGACATATCTACACTTGCTTATCATTGTCCCAGTAATGGCGCGGCTTCAAAATACTGATGTGACATTTGTCGATCCTTTTGCTGGTGACATGGGTGTCAAACAATATACTTTACCAATTCTCCTCATTACCTTGAATAGATCACTGAATCATGCTACCAACAGCTCATCTTGTAAAGCCAATAATACTCACACCTCATCACTTATTTGAAATGTTGATGATTTCATGTGTTTATTGGCCCTTTAGTCATTGTTGTTTGCAATGCTTCAATGTGTTCTTGAACCATTTTGCAGGCTCTTGGAAGCTGCACTCAAAACACAGATATATGGTCCATTATAGATGATTCTTTTCTGTTCCAAAAGTGTTACTCTGATTAATTACATAGCACCTCTGATTTAATGTCCGTAAACTAATTCAAAAGGACTACAACTGGTACTCTCCAAGTGAATCTTGGGTGGCAAGCAACAGAAATTCCAGTCCTTGACCCAACTATGAGCATATTTGTGTCAGTATCCTAAGCATTGTTTGAGAGCTTAGTGGTACCTTGATAAAGCTCCTTGTGTCAGTAGTTAGTATGCAGAAAACTTTAACCATGTTATGAAAATATTAGAAATTGGAAAATCAAAATCCATAAAACTGGAAATCTTGAGCTGACTGGATTGACATTGTCATCCATATCCAGTGAAGAACAAGGTTAACTTGTCTATCTCTACACCTTAGCAGTAATAATTCTTAAGGATATAGCCTCTGGAATGGAGTATCCATATCCAAAGCAAGCCTTCCTGCTCCTATGATGCTGCTTGGCCTGCTGTGTTCATCCAGTTCTACACCTTGTTATCTCAGATTCTCCAGCATCTGCAGTTCCTACTAACCCAGGATATACTGGCGTCCTGCTTTTGCCTTTGGTAAAGACCACAATATTGCACAATATTCAGCACCATTCGTGACTCCTCAGACACTGAAGCAGTCCGTGTTCAAATCCAATAAGATCTGGACAATATCCAGGCTTGGGCTGACAAGTGGCAAGTGACGTTCACACCACACAAATGCCAACCTATGACCATCACCAATAAGAGATAATCTAACCACCACCCCTTGACATTCAATAGTGTTATCATCACGGAATCTCCCACTATAAACATCCTGGGGGTTATCATTGACCAGAAACTCAATTCGACTCACCACATAAACACACTGGCTACAAGTGCAAATCTGAAACTAAGAATACTGTGGTGAGTAACTCACCTCCTCAAAGCCTGCCCACCATCTACAAGGCACAAGTCAGCAGCGTGATGGAATACTCCCCACTTGCCTGGATGAGTGCAGTCCCAACAACACTTAAGCAGCTTGACACCACCCAGGACAAAGCAGCCCGCTTGACTGGCACTACATCGACTAGCATCTACTCCCTCCACCACCAACGCTCAGTAGCAGCAGTGTGTACTAGCTCCAAGATGCACTGCAGAAATTCAAAGAGCCTCAGGTAGCACCTTCCAAACCCACGACCACTTCCATTTAGAAGGACAAGGGCATCAGACATGTGGGAACACCGCCACCTCAAAGTTCCCCTCCAAATCACTCACCATCCTGATTTGGAAATATATTGCCATTCCTTCACTGTCGCTGGGTCAAAATCCTGGAATTCCCTCCCTAATAGCATTGTGGGTCGACCCACAGCAGGACTGCAGCGGTTCAAGAAGGCAGCTCACCACCACATCTCAAGGGCAACTAGGGATGAGCAAGAAATGCTGGCGAGCCAGCGACATCCACATCCCACAAATGACTAGAGGAAAAAAAGCTGGCATGAGAACTAGAGGTGCCAGTTTGCTTGTATGTTGAAGCTCGGCATTTTTAAAAATTGGACCATGTCCTAGTGAAGACCTGACTAGTACAAATGTTCTCCTTTATGTGCTTGGATCACCCAGGTTCCCAAATGTGCCATTATAGCAATTTAAATATCCTAGGATGATATTAGGGTGGTATCATTAGCTGGTGAACCACTGTCCACTATTCATTCGCAGGTGGGGAAGTGGAGCCCTCTTCACACATCAGCATTTTTAAAACCGCAGCGTTATGGAATTTCCATGACTTCAACTTGTTTGAGTGGATTGTGCTACTTAACTTGATCAGTTGGCTGATCCTCGATCAGAGAAAACTGACTGAACATTTCCTTCGGATTATCCGAAACTCCAAAGAAAATTTCTGATAACCAAATACCTGTCTGTGGTGTCAATTTAATTGCCGATGGACGTTGAGCCTTTGCTCAGGTCACAACACTTAAAAATTCCTGGAACCTCTGTAATTGCTCCATTTCCTTGAGCTCATTTGGACTTTGGTAATGGGACAAGAATTAAACGGATGGGTCTAGAGGAACTGTTAATGTAAAAGCAGAATCATTAACAACAGTTGCCATCTGCAAAAATTGGGGCAGTGGTTATGATCGGAAACTGTTAACATCAATGTTGAGACCAGAGTAAGGTGCCCAACTAAAAGATGAGGGAGAATTCTTCAAACTTATGGTGAGCTTCTTAGAAGGTCAAGGACAGAGATTAAAATGGGAGTGACTAAGAATTAAAGTGACAGGCAACTGGATATTCAGAGTCCCCTTGTAGACTGAATGGAAACTATGGAAATGGAAATTCCACATTGTGGTCTCCCCAGTGTTGGGGAGCCTTACGTTATGAGTAACGAATAGCAAACAAAATTGTATGCAAAAACTTTGAAGAAACGTTTGGGCTCCTAGATGGCAGGAAGGGAAGAGTAAGAGGGTAGCTGGCTGCATCTCCTGTACATGTTTTGGGGCATAGGAAAGTGAGGGTTGAGGGGATGTGGGACTGAGGAGTAGATGAGGGAGTGGGGAACACTAAAGTAAGGAGAATAAGAAGACTGTGAAATAGGTTTAGTTTCGTTTAGTAAGAGGAG